GAACAGTTTATAACCATCCATGACAGTACTCCAGTCATGTGAGTTATCCCACCAAGTCTCTGTTATTCCGATCACGTCATAGTTCCTTGACATCACCAGGACCTCCAGTTCTCCCTGCTTGTTTCCAAGGCTTTGTGCATTTGTATATAAGCACTTGAGATAACCTGTTGATCGCCCCTCATTCCCAGTATGAGGCAGGAGCCCTCCCCTCACAGACATTCCTGCCTGTGCTTCCTCCCGGTATCCCGCTTTCCCACTTACCTCAGGGCTTTGGTCTCCTTCCCCCGGTGAACCTAGTTTAAAGCCCTCCTCACTAGGTTAGCCAGCCTGCTGGCAAAGATGCTCTTCCCTCTCTTCGTAAGATGGAGCCCGTCTCTGCCCAGCACTCCTCCTTCATGGAACACCATCCCATGGTCAAAGAATCCAAAGTCTTCTCTCCGACACCACCTGCGTAGCCATTCGTTGACTTCCACGATTCGACGGTCCCTACCTAGGCCTTTTCCTTCCACGGGGAGGATGGACGAGAACACCACTTGCGCCTCCAACTCCTTTATCCTTCTTCCTAGAGCCACATAGTCCGCAGTGATCCGCTCAAGGTCATTCTTGGCAGTATCATTGGTGCCCACGTGGAGAAGCAGGAAGGGGTAGCGATCCGAGGGCTTGATGAGTCTCGGCAGTCTCTCCGTCACATCGCGAATCTTGGCCCCCGGCAAGCAGCAGACTTCTCGGTTTTCCCGGTCAGGGCGGCAGATGAGTTCCCAGCCTCCAATCTTCCATACCCAGGTAGTCATCAGCACAGGTTTAGGGCCTGGGAGACTCTGCCCTCCGGAGGAGGCCCACAGGAATCTACCCCTTCCAGGGTAGTCATAGTTCCCCAAAATGGCAAAGAAAAACAAGCTAACTAATCAAAGGCAGTATTCGCATATGGCAAGGGGCCTCCAGCAGTCTGTAATAGTTCAGCACAAGGCAGGGGGGAACAGAAGCTTGCTGTAAATGGAGAGGGAGAGGGAGGGGAGCTACTGAAACTTGGGAGTGTGGAGAAGTAAGCTCCGGGCTGGGAAAGGACATCACAGCAGTCTTAATACCGATCCTATGGCAGTTCCTCAGCCACTGGTGCCCAGTCCTTCGCCCTTCCATCAGCAACTAGCATCCTGTATGCCAACAGCCCCCGGCCCCTCAGTCAGATGCCAGTGCCCTGTCCCTCACCTCACCAGTAGGCACACATGCTCCTGCCCCTCTCCTGGGCCAGGTGTCTCTGCCAGGACCTACAGTGGCTGGAAGGTGGGATGGAGCTGGGTCAGGGAGTCATATGACCATCCACTTCTCCCAGCCAGCTGGGAGCATACACTGTGTCATCCCTGTGCAGTCCCTGCACACCTCCCTGGCTCATTCAGCCATTGCAGCTGGCTGAGTGAAAGAAAATGGACAGAGGAGAGCTCTTCCTGTTGCCCAGCAGCTGGTCTGTGCTCATGCACTGCAGCAGTCCTTTGGAATCTGCTCTAGCCGCCGCACTCCAACACATGCACACAGGGGCAGAAAAATAGCCAGGTTCTTCTCTTGCCTCCACAAGATATTGTGAGGGCAGAAAACATTGTGGTGGTTATGGGTGGGGCAGGAACAACCACAGCCCCTCCTCACCCCCGGTTTCCTGGCATTAGACTACCCCACTCTCCTGGTTCTGCACCCTCAGACAACTCATTCACAGGACTTCTAAAGCAGACATTCAGAGTTGAGCCCACCTGCTACTTCCCAGTTGGGGTCAGGAATCTCTTTATGACTTTACAAATAGTTGCTGAAGAAATAATTATGATGTCACAAAGAGGATTATGAGTTCATGTGGAGACTAACTTTTACTTTGTACAAATCCTTTCCTCACACAAATAGCCATAGTAATAAAGAATGTAGACAAATGATCAAAATATAAGAGATTTACATATAATGAGCCAGATTCCGCAGTATGCATCAGCTGGTTTGTACCACTCTGGATGGATTTATAGGTTTATGAGGTTCTTAATACAGTGTTTTCCAAAGTTTCCCATGAGGCATAAGTACACTACTGATCACAAAATCAAGGACAATTTGATTGATCTACAATTTGATGTCCAACATGAAAATGTTTGTCTTATTTATGCATTAAATAAGAAATTTGCATAGCAACTCATGAGAAAAGTTTTAAATGTCATTTTAAATGTCATGGATTCCCGCAACCATTTTTGAGTCTAGAAAGGATGGTTGAGAGCATTGTTACAGAAGGGCCTAATTCAACTTTAGTTGAAGTTAATGGAAACATTTCCACTGACTTAAATGGGTGTTGAATCAAACCCTTGGTAATTTGTCCCTTGAGGTGCCTGAAAACCAGTCATCCCAAAATCAATGTCCAAAAAATTAACTGACCTACCTTATCCTTGACCTAAGTCATCATTTCCCTTCCCCATTCTTCAGTTCTCTCCCTTCTCATCTACAGTACAGTCTCTCTAACATGTCTGAAGGGGTAATTTGCCTGATACGTAGCAGAGATGAGTTCTGCTTTCCTTTAATTATGAACAACTCCGGCTGTTTTCCATAGAGGCTTTATAGAGTTGTGCAGTGGTTTAGGTTCAGCTGGTTCATGACACCACAACAAAAAAATCTTTTTGGCTACCCATTCTCTCTCTCAAGACTCTTATGGCCTGATCCAGCTACAGCTGAAACTTTACTGAAAGATTCCCATTGATTTCAATAGGACTTGGACCAGCGTTTATTTCTGTTTATAATGCCATATTTACAACACAAGACCCAACACAAACCAGTCTGTCTTGCCAGAAATCAAACAGAAAGTGCCTCAGCCTGGGCTACTGCCTTTGGGCCCAACCCTACAAACCTTTATGCACCAAGGTGTACCATTAAGTATTCACCTTTTGACTGACATTTTCTAACTTATTAAATCTGAAATGTGTTTAATTTGATATTTATATTAAGAGCTGTGAAGAAGATGATTTATAAAGAGATTTATAAAGAGCTGTGAAGAAGATGGCAGAAAGATACAGAAAGAAGATGGCAGAAAGATACAAGGCAGAAAAAGATTTTGAATAGCCAATGGGGTATCCTGGGTGGATCAAAAGGACTACTCATCCACAAAGAAATTAGCAAAGGATTGTACGGAATGCGCTCCCCTCGTTGCACACCTCCAGTAATGGAGATGCTACATAAGAAGAAGAAATGGAAGTCTATTATTGGGGTAAATATTCTGCACAGTGGGCTGAATTTAGCCATGTGACTGACTAATGCTAACACTGTAGGGTGAACAGCTGAATGCTTACCTCACTGCATTAAGCTGAACAAGGAGTGACATCGGTGAATGTTATGTGCGCTGAATCGTGCAATACCATAAGCACTGCACTCTGTGCAGGGGCATGTTCACCTCTGAAGCTCCCCAAATTCTTATTCTTTCTTAATCTCATTGCAGTTGTTCTTCCTCTTCAACTCTGTCTCACCTGCTTCTGAAGTTTTACTTGAGTGTGAATTCACTTATTGAAGTTTCAAGATGCCATAGTTACAGAGTGTAAAAATATTTTGGTTTTGTGAGTGACTAGTAGTGCTTGTGTAATGGTTTATGTCCTTTTAATTTGGTAGCACTGTCCTATTTTGGATGGCATATCACACCTACTAGGGTCTCCTCCAATGGCTCAGCCAATGGAATTATTCTTTTAATTTAATAGTTAGAAGCCCAGGTTTTTGTAGTCAGGAGTAAGGGCTTACCTCCTTGGTCATGATGTCACCCAAACTGCAAAATATCACTCTCTTTCTTTTCAAATTTTCTCAATTCTTTTGTGCTTTTTTTTGACATTTTCCTCTTGTTGTGTTGGGACTTTTCAACCTATTAGCAACTGGGGGACGGGGAGAGAGGAATTTCTACTTAGGAGGGCTATGGTGGTTCAGGAACTGGAAAGGTGGGAATGAGGTTGTTTGCTGGAGAGGTTGTAGTAAGGTTGGCAACTTTGGGGAGTCAGGTTACTCATCAGAGATGGGGACCTGGTCAGGTTGCTCCTGAGAGGATGGGGTGTGCAATACTCATGAATCCCATGACTAGTATTGCACTCTCACTTCTTCACAAATCCATGAATACAGAGATGTTGAACTGTGACTGTGTAGGTCCTTAGTCATTATTTCTATTCCTTTTACATACAGTTGGTGGGCTGCCAACAATGTTAGTTGCATATGTAGCTGTGAAATATTGCAATGGCTCAGCAGAATAGAACTGGCAAAATACAGGTAGTGACATATAGCAATCATCATAATTCCAGATGTGAAGTGGTTTGCTTAGGAGAGTGAGGCATTTGGTAGGTCTTTTGAAAGAGCCAAGATTTGTCATGGTGGTGAGAGGTACAAGGAGTTTGGCAGAAGATAACAGAATTAAGGCTCCTATTACTCCTCCCTTGTAGCTTTATATCCCTTGAAGACTTTCTGGGGTCTCATCAAAGAGAGTGATCTCAGACAGCAGACTATGATTTCCGATTTGATTAGTAAGTCTCTTTCTCTCTCTGTAGATAGATGTAGCATGTGTTAAAAATTAGTGGCCGCTTCAGATTCCACAGCAAGGTTCCAGGGCACTGAAATGATTTTTCCATAATGCTGCTGCTGCAAGGTTTGAGCGGCTGCAGATTCTTTCCTGTTGACGTTTCCCCCAGGCTTGGCAAAGCTGCCGAGCAGACCGCTCTCCTGTTACCAGCTCCCAACCTGCCACCTCCCCGCGCTCCCCCTGCCGTCCCGTTCCCAATCCCCCTGCTCCCCGGCGCTGCCCTCTCTCCAGCAGGTGCCCACGCTGCACCTCCCGCAGCTGCACCCAGTCCCTGACCCACCCCCGCCTGCCAGCGTCTCCCGCGGTGCCCCACGCGCCCTCACCTACCCCGCGCCCCTCCCGCTCCCCAACCAAGCCCCCCGTCCGGCCTCCGGATTGGCCCGCGGGCTGCTCCAATGGCGGCGGCGGCGGGGGTGGGGGCTGCGCGCGGGGGGCCGCGGGGCCGCGGCCGGGGGAGGGACTAGAACTTTCCGCCGCGGCCGGGCCGGACTTTCCCCGCAGCAGCCCCAGCAGGAGCGGCGAGCAGAGCGCAGGGAGCGGCCGCCACCCGCCGGGGACACGGACCCTCCGCAGCCGCCATGACTCACTTCAACAAGGGCCCCTCGTACGGGCTCTCCGCCGAGGTCAAGAACAAGGTAGGGGTCCGGCCCGCGCGCCCTGGCCTCGTCCGCGCGGGCGCGGTGGGGCCGGGCGCCCCCTTGGGGGCGGGGGCGGGCTCGGGCGCCTCGCTAGCTCGCCCGCCCGCCCGCCGGCCGGCGCGCTCTTCCCGCTCGTGGGGGCAGGATCCGTCGTTGTCTCCCGGGCGCGGAGTCACTCCTCGCGGCGCCTGGTCTGCCCGCCTGTGGTGGGGCAGTGATCGCCGCCCCTCGCTCCCTCCGCCCGGGTAGGGGTGCAGGCAGCGGTCGCCGCGCCTCGCGGCCCGGCCCTCGCCCACCGCCTGGAGCCGGGCTCCCTCCGCGCAGCCTTGGGGGGGGGGGCGCGCCAGACAAAGGAGGATGAGGCTCCTGTTGTACTGGCCAGGCAGCCCATCTGGGTGCGGGCGTCCCTCTGGTCTCCGCTCCGCGAGGCCGTGACCCACCCCGCCCCGGAGATGGTGGCCGCAGCGGGGAGAGCGAGGGATGCTCCGGGCTGCGTGGCTGGAGCCTGGCTCCTTGCTGGCGTTTGTGGCGTAACTGAGGTGCGCCTCGCCAGGGCAGCCCCCTGCTGAGCCTTCTGCCAGCCCAGCGCTCCCCCTGCCCTCCCCTCCCCTCCCCCGGGGGTAAGAGCAGGGCTTAATTTGTAACGAAGGGGGCCTGGAGCTCAAGCAATTAGGTAGCAGGGCTTAAGCAATTGTTTTACTTTCACAAGTGATGCGACAAGCCCGGAGGTGCCTGGGCTATGAACTGCCAAGCCTAGAGGTGCCAGGGCTCCGTCCTGGCAAGCTCTGGAACAAATTAAGGACTGGTCAAATGCCTGACTCTGCCCGACCACTTGGGGCATATTGGTCTAGTCAGTAAACGTCGTTGTCACGCTGAGGAATACGGTGTTTTCAAAGTTAATGTTCCCTCCTAGAGTTTCCTAGGAGCAGCCGACTTATGTAGTATGTGTCTGTTTGTATCAATGTGTAATATGCCAGCACTTTCCACTACATCTTCCTTCTCCCCCAACCTTGCGACTCATTCCTTCTACCAGGCTGCATCACTGCTAGTGCCCCCCACCACAACCATGCTTATCCCTTCATGTATTACTAGCTTCTTCTCCCCCCTCCTCCCCACACACGCCCTTTCCACTCTTGCATATACTGTCCCTCCCATAGCTTTCTAGTCTGCAACTTGCTAAGGGGATGAAATTCCTGATTCACCTTTGTAGCTTTTAGGATTTTAACTCTCTCCATTAGATTTGCATACAAACAGACTGTGTGAAAGGTGGTGGAGGAGCTGGGTGGTATTTGTCTCCATGTTAATTAGTGAACCCTTTGGTCTGGGAAACAGATGAGAAATCCCCCCCCCCCCAAATAATTCCAGCTCAAGCTCTGATACATTCCAATCATATTACATCATGGGGTACTGAGGAGAGACCAGCCAATCGCGTGGGCGCTGTGCACAGAATGCTCATTGTCTCCTCTGCTGCTCCAGCCAAAAGGGGGTGGGTAGAAGAGAGGCACAAAGGAGGACTAGGGAGGGTGAGGCTGCGGCTGCAGCAGCTACTGCTGCTGGGGTTTTAGTTTCCATTAGTCTCCTGGGGAAGTAAAGCATTTCAGGATTGCCACCATCACATTAATCTCATTGCCTAATGCAAAAAGGCATGCTCTGGTGGCACCGAAGCCACAATAAAATATGTTCCTGCAGTACTACAGTCATGGCAGAGACACATGGTACAGATAATATTAATTCAGCAATTTCTTCTCCTTTTGATAGTGATTTAAATCTGTTTACAAAATGTGTGTGAAAATACCTCCCAAAGTACCTATTTTTTGATATTAAAACAGTTCTAACATTAGTAGCATAGCTGCTTCTGTACATCCTTAGACCTTTGAGCATCGTTTCACTGGTTTTCTTCTGTTGTTTTTGATTTGGTTGTTATCTCTGTTCCATTATTCTGCACTGTGAAAGATGCTTTTATTAGTATCCCATTATATCAAATCTTAAATGATAGTATTCAGAGCTGAAAGAAAAGGAGTACTTGTGGCACCTTAGAGATTAACCAATTTATTTGAGCATGAGCTTTCGTGAGCTACAGCTCACTTCATCGGATGCATACCATGGAAACGCCATGGTATGCATCCGATGAAGTGAGCTGTAGCTCATGAAAGCTCATGCTCAAATAAATTGGTTAGTCTCTAAGGTGCCACAAGTACTCCTTTTCTTTTTGCGAATACAGACTAACACGGCTGTTACTCTGAAACCTATTCAGAGCTGAGAAATTGTTTTGGCACAGGCAAAAATCTTTTCAACACAAAGTACACTACTAACACAACATAAAAACATAAGAATGGCTATACTGGGTCAAACCAAAGGTCCATCCAGCCCATGTCCTGTCTACCGACAGTGGCCAATGTCAGGTGCCCCAAAGGGAGTGACACTAACAGGTAATGATCAAGTGATCTCCCTCCTGCCATCCATCTCCACCTTCTCAGAAACAGAGGCTAGGGACACCATTCCTTACACATCCTGGTTAATAGCCATTAATGGACTTATTCTCCATGAATTTATCCAGTTCTCTTTTAAACCCTGTTATAGTCCTAGCCTTCACAACCTCCTCAGGCAAGCTGAGAAGTCCTAGCCTCTTTAATCTCTCATCATATGGGACCTGTTCCAAACCCCTAATCATTTTAGTTGCCCTTTTCTGAACCTTTTCTAATGCCAGTATATATTTTTTGAGATGAGCGGACCACATCTGTATGCGGTATTCAAGATGTGGGCATACCATGGATTTATATCAGGGCAATAAGAGATTCTCTATCTTATTCTCGATTCCTTTTTTTAATGATTCATAATATCCAGTTTGCTTTTTTGACTGCCGCTGCACACTGTGTGGACGTCTTCAGAGAACTATCCACGATGACTCCAAGATCTTTCTCCTGATTAGTTGTAGCTAAATTAGCCCCCATCATATTGTATGTATAATTGGGGTTATTTTTTCCAATGTGCATTACTTTACATTTATCCACATTAAATTTCATTTGCCATTTTGTTGCCCAATCACATAGTTCTATGAGATCTTTTTGAAGTTCTTCACAGTTTGCTTTGGTCTTGACTATCTTGAGCAGTTTAGTGTCATCTGCAAACTTTGCCACCTCACTGTTTACCCCTTTCTCCAGATCATTTATGAATAAGTTGAATAGGATTGGTCCTAGGACTGACCTTTGGGGAACACCATTAGTTACCTCTCTGAAAATTTACCATTTATTCTACCCTTTGTTCCCTGTCTTTTAACCAGTTCTCACGCCTTGAAAGGATCTTCCCTCTTATCCTATGACAACTTAATTTATATAAGAGCCTTTGGTGAGGGACCTTGTCAAAGGCTTTCTGGAAATCTAAGTACACTATGTTCACTGGATCCCCCTTGTCCACATGTTTGTTGACCCCCTCAAAGAATTTCTAATAACTCTAAACCATGTTGCTTACTTCATAACTGGTAGTTTCACCTGTTTGTAAAATACCAAATCCAGCATCAGACTTAACAGATTCTAATATGCTGTTTCATACTGATTTATAGTCAAGTGTAAAATAAACATGCACCCAATGATTCCACTAAAGACTAGCCCAAAAATATGTAGAGGATTTTACAAAACATCCAAAATACAATTTTCTTCCTTGATATCTATTGACTTTTTAACATACTTATGTTTAGTTACAAACCTGGGGGAATCTGGCTAAGCAGATGCCTATTTCCAGGAGTTTCTTTTAGATTTCTAGAATTGTTTGTCTAGTAAGGTTACAGTAAAAATGTGTAAAATATTTGAGCATGTTAATTAGAAATAATGCCTTTCTGCTTGATTGAGGTTCTTAGCTGTTAAAAGAAAAATAATTTTACAAGTTGTGAATTATGTACATGGAGTAGTAAAGAAGCTTTGTGTTCTTTCTTCCACTTATTGTCATCAACTTACTTAAACTACTGGGCCCCATGAATGTCTGACAACAGTCCATAATACTAAAATAGTAAATAAAACCATGGAACTCATTTCCATAGAGACTGAAATGTTTCACCTTGCTGAGTCCTTGTTATCTGAGTAATGAACTGGTTTCTCTGCTTTCTTCAATAGGATTGTCTTTCCAAAAAGATTCCCTCCATATGCAGTTTACGGTTGATTTCTATCCTGTCTTGTGGCTTCACCCAGTAACATCTGTCAACTCAACACCAATATAAAGGATTTTAGAATGGAGTTAATTTCTCTTTTTGTAGCGCTGGGCATCTGTTCTCAGAATTTTGTCCTTAATGCAGAGATCAAACACAAGATATTATAGTGCAGCCAGACTTGCAGCTTATTTCCTAATAGGACTCTTGTGTGTGAAGTACAGTAGAACCTCAGAGTTATGAACATGACCAGTCAAGCGCACACCTCATTTGGAACCAGAAGTATGCAATCAGGCAGCAGCAGTGGCAGAGATTTCACCCCCCCCCCCCCCCCCCAAAAAAAAGCCATACTGTGTTAAACATAAACTACAAAAAAGTAAAGGGAAAGCAGCACTTTTCTTCTGCATAGTAAAGTTTCAAAGCTGTATTAAGTCAGTGTTCAGTTGTAAACTTTTGAAAGAACCACCATAATGTTTTCAGTTACAAATGTTTTGTTCAGAATTACAAACATTTCACAGTTATGAATACCCTCCATTCCTGAGGCGTTCGTAACTCTGAGGTTCTATAGTAGGTCTTCCCTTCATGTAAAGTTCCAGAAGATCAGGAAGAAATGGCTCTACTAAGGTCCAGGTGATCCTTTCCCAAAACTACTTGTGTTTTGAGAATGGGCTTTGTTCATCAGTTGCTTGATTGATCTTTTTGACTTTAGTGACCCAGTTTTGTCACACCTTTCTAAAAATATTCATGCACATGGCAAATTCGTGTTTTCCTTAAATTTTGATACTTGTCACTATCTATCTGCCCTCTGCTGAGGCAGGTAGTCTTTATCAGATTGAAATACTCAAACAAAACAAAACCC